AGTCTTAATAGGTCACATGTTTGTATTCAAATGAAAACGTTTTAATTTGAATAATTTTGATTATTTTTAAAGTGGTTAACATTCCAATCTGACACTAACTTTTAAAAAAATCATATCAACTAAATGAAATGATGCAGCCAGCGTCAAATTTGTATACTTGAAACTCTGCGAGAGATGATATACTATGAAAGTACATATATATATAAAGAGTGTATATACATATGTATGTCAATGATTTTTATTAATTTATAAGTGGACAGCATTGTTTTATGGGGGACTTCTGTATTATTTTGCGCTATTATTTTTTTTTTTATTTATATTATATTTTTTTTTATTATTATTAATTTTTATTGTAGTGCCTGTTTGTACCAATTTCCATAAGACTCTACAATAATTTTGTTGAAATAGTTTATTTGCCCAATAAAAATAATAGTTTAATAATTTATTAATTAAACTGTTTTATATTTTCAGAAATATATACTAGTAATAATAGTAAAAAATAGGACATAATAAATGAATAATAAAATATATTGTAATTTTATTATATTGTATTATTTAGGAAATCTTTAATTATGTGTAATATTATAATACACACTAATATTTAGAGAAAAAATGTGAAATAAAAATAATATGTAACACTTAAATATGACGAAATTGCATAATCTACAATATAAAAATTCAGTTAATAAAAAAAACAAATGTAAACTGATAATCATAGTTAAAATACATAATAAAATGAAAAAATATATATTAAGTAATATAAAACATTTGTAACATAAAGGAAAAATACGAAGAAATGTAATATAAAAAAATTAAAGTCTACTACAATAATTAAAAAATCTATCTAATCTATAATCTTATGTAAAAAAATTCGCTTGTATAAAAAAATAAAATATATTAAATAATAAAAAAAGACTAGAACAATTTTATTCAAAACAAAAGAAAAACAAAATAAAATTGTTAATAATTTCTTATAAATAGATTTAAATAAAATCAAATAGAATAAAAAAGAACGGTAAAAAATTAATATTAAAAAAAAATTATTAATATGCATATAATACTTAAAAAGTTAAAGTTAAATATACGAGTTAAAAATATAATGAAAATAATGAAAATAATTATTAAACAATGAAAAATAATTTTTGTGATATTGAAAAATAAAAAAATTAAAAAAGACAAATGAACAAATTAAGATAAAGTAAACATTATTTATAAAAATAATTATATATATTCAGACTCAGACACTCGCAGTGTTCCCATTAGTATATGAACTTACCACACCATTCACACAAAAAATTATTTTGTTTTGTACGTATAAATTTCTTTAAACAGAAAACAACATTGTTGTTATTGCACATTTACTGTTTTGTTTTTTAAATAAAGTATTGAATTTGTGCTGTTCAATTTAGCTGAAATAAGTGTTTTATGCAGTTTAATTGGAAAATATAATTAACATTAGGCGAATAAATGTACCATTAGTTACAAGAGAGCTGTGGATAGAGAAAAATATGCTCTAAATAATATATAATTCAAGAATAAATATTTCATTTAAAATTAAAAAAAAAAAATTATTTTATTAATCATGTGTGATTCAGTTGTTTAATAAAAATTTCTTATGAAATCATACATAACGATAAATCCGATTAGCACGTAAAATATTATTAATTCTTAATTCTTAATGTAGTGAAACAGAAAAAATTAGCAAAAATTAAATTAAATAATGCAATAAATTTACTACCGTTCTGGTCAATAAAAATTAAATAATTATTATTGTAATTCGAACAATAAAATAGAAAATTATTACGTATGGTGTGTATTTATCTGAATTTGAATTAAATAGAAACTAAACTAAATTCTTGCTTATAACTTAATTTAAGATATAAATATATACATTGAATATATACAAAAACTTTAACATATCTAACGTATATTTTATACTTTATTAATATCGAGTTAATTCATTTTTAATTTGAAGTTTTTGTTCAATATAAAATTACATCAAGAAGTATTAAATATAAAAAATTGATCACAGTCTTCCAATCTTATTTAGTGCTGTTCATTTATCTTTTTATTTGTCTATTTACGTGTAAAATTAATACAGTAATATACCAAGGCTTAAGATAACACTTTATATATATATTTTATTTTTGCTTTCATAAAAGCAAAAATATTGCATTTCGTCCTATAACGACTCTATAACAATGTATTAATTAATAAACCCTCAAACTTTATTTAAAAAATCATATAAGAAACACAATGATTTTACATAAGTATATGAAAACTTTTTTTATAAATAATTATTTCTTTTTTTTCTTCTTAATATTATCATTGGCTTCAAAATCAATTATAGTTTCAACTCAGTTCAAAAAAATATTTAAATAAAGCACGTGTTACAGTGCATGTTTTATGCTATAAATAAATAGTTCAACCCTAAAAAAGATTATAAAAATATAAATAAACATATACCACACATAATTTTAATTTCTGCTTTTATGATTATTACTCTGCACTACCGTAGCTGAAAGATTAGATTTTCAGTGAAACCGATTAATTTTAAAGTCTAGACACGAGCCCCTTTCTAGCAATATATACCAAACTATACCAGATATGTAGCAAATGCATCCTTTAAATGCTGCGTTAATAACAAAGGGGAGCAGTTAAACTCCCCCACAATTTTTTTATATACCTAGTACTGTAATAAAAACAAACAAATATTCTACAGATGTGCATTTAAAAAACTACTCACAATTCATTAAAAGGAAAATGAAGTCGCTCTGAAACAAACGTAAGTGCATTTCTACGCACGCTTCTATGAAAACCCATAAAACTGCATACTTTAAAAAAAAGTTAATTAAAATACAGGCACGAAAAACGTTAATTGAAACTAAATTTAGCTTACTTTGAATACAAAAAAAAAATACATATATATAATTAAGCATTAATTCAGAAATATCGACAGTTTTGTTTATGCAATTGCAGTTTATGCAGTTTACGCACTGCAAGCTACTGTTTGTTACCGCTCCATAGACCCCATACTATAGTATATGAAAAAATGCGAAAAATTACAATAAATTCTGAAGTGGTAAGCAATTATGCTAGCACTGCACCATTGGCTGCACTTCTGCCTGTACTTGTCAGAAATTGCACTTTTGGTGCATGTGCGGAACCATCAGAAACCAGCGAAGTACAAGTGAAAATGTTGTTATTACGGCTTTGCTAGTTTGCTGCATAAATAATGAACAGCATTCAATTGTATGTAAATCATAAAATAATAGTTACAAAAATAAAATATTTATTTATATTAGAAGGAAAAACAACAATGCTACGCACCGGAAACTGCTCATATACGTACTTTTTGTGACGATGGCAACAATGTTGTGTTGCATGAACGCGCTTATGCTTTAAAGGCACCTAACATTGGTGTTAGTGTTATTTTCTGCTTTTACACAGGAAACTGAAGCAAATATTTGCTTCCATTTTATTTTCGAAATGTCAATATGGCAGTTACTTTTTATACTTACGACTAGGAAAAAATGTTTAAGAGAAGAAAAAATAATTCAAAACTCTTTAATAAGAATTCTGTTATTTAAAATAATATATATTTATAGCTTTCTTTCGTTAAACCATAAAAAAACGAGTGCTAAGCTATTCTTGAGTTCATTACCTAAACACAACTAGAGATTCATAATCACAATCTATACCGAGCACAATACATAACAGCTAAAAGATATTTTTTGAAGACAACCAAGAAAAATAAAATTCGTATTACTAACTAATTATATAGTGCGGAGATGATGATGTTAAAAAAGTGTCTAACGCATCGTCAATATGTCGTCACAATAGTGGTATACCGGACTTACACGAACTAAATATAACACAACTTAAACGCTAGACCGTTTCTTCCCTAAAACTTTATCGTGAATGCTTCAAAGTAGGGTCGCGATAATAATATTTGTAAGTATGTACTCATGTACACAGCCATGTGTTTCCATCTTGGAAGATACCATCTAAAGACAGAGTGATGCAAGTAAGCACTAGCCAGGAACACTTGAAAAATTTAAGCATATCGTTAATATTATGCAAACATTTGAGGGCGTCTATATGCAAATTCTTCACGTTTTGTTGATAATAAATCCAGTACCCTCATTAAGTGGTAAGTTTGCTCATGGGCCATAGCAGATCAAAGTACATGCTAAAAAATTAAACCCTTTTTGTTAATCATTTCTATCGCAATTGTGGAGAGGACGAAGAAAGTACATCACATTTGCTTTGTTTCTATATTAGTGCTATATATTTATAGTACAAATTAGGAGCTCCCTTTTTCGAGGATCTTTGTCAACTCCAAGATCTTCTAATAAAAAGTATTTTAAGTTTTGCGAAAGTAAAAGCAACTTCCGCCCACAAGCTAAGGCTTTAAATTTTTATATTTAGTTTATGATTTGAAAATTTATTGTAAATTTTTTATGTTAAGAAGGGTCCAAAAAAACAAGAAATAAAGAAAAAAAAAGGTCTAAGGCAGTTTTAACACCGCTAATTTTTTTTTTAAAGCAGCACAATAAGCTAAGTCCTAAGTGAATCTTCAAGATCGCCGGTATAACCTGACTTAACTAAGTATGTATACCACTGCAACTTCATATTGCAAAATACTAACCCTACTCACGATTAGGTGCGTTGATAGCACATTCTTGCATTAGTAAATAATTTATAATTGTGAATAAATTTATATTTAAAATAATAATTCACAATAATGTAAATAAGCTTTGCTTTTGCTTTTCCTGTACACATTAAGAGTGTTTATAATACTTTTCAGTTTATTAACCACACATAATCGTTATTGTATAAAAGATATTTTTATAAATAACAACACTATTTTACAAAATAATGTAAAAACAATAATATGTGAATGCATTTACTTATCATATATAGTGGTTTTATATACTTTATGTGAGAAAGGAAACGGAATATAAACTTAACCGGAAAAATATTGTAAACTTTTGAAATTATGATACTCTAAAAGGAAATAAAAACTTACCATTAAACAACACATTAAATAACACATAAAACATATAAGAAACACACATAAATCCCATAATTTTGAAGCTAATAAACTTTAAAAACTAACACAAAATATTTTCAAACGAACCCCAAAAATTAACCAAAAATTTTGCCACAATTTTAACAGGAAATGACAATTACTCATATACGCATCAACGCCTGTCCGTGTTGGAAAAGCAGTCCATAAAAATAATTTTCTCTTGAACACACAAAATAACAAAAATCAAATAAAAAACCTTAATAAATAAATTAAATTTTGATGCTATCAAAATTTTAGTCAAACTTCCTTTCAAACAAAAACATAAATCGTATTTAGAGTGAGTGAATTCTATTTGATAGATGATACTCGTATCTGCGGCTGTGATTGATGTGAGTATATAGCGGACTCTAAGGCCGTATATATTCATTTTTATTAAATTATTTTTATTTTGACTCTTCTATTTATTAATCTCTTCATTTTTTGTTTTTTTTTTTTGTTTATTTGAAACAAAACAACTGTGTCAAACACTTCATCAAAAATATTTGTTTTTATTTTCTCATACATAAATTTTTATATGATTCTCGATAAATATAAATTTTCCTGTGACATTTGATTACCACGTTGCCGCAAATGTACCATGAGGATTATATATAGTATATAGTTTATTGATAAAAAAAAACATAGAGGAAAAAATGCTAAAAGCAACTAACAACATTTTGGGAAAATGTGTTCAAATTTGTTACACTTTTCCACTTCGCTTCGAATCACAACACGCGCTCTCCGCGTTGATGAATGATGC